GCAAAGATACATCCAAGACTCCAAATATCCAATGGTTTTCCTGCTTGATCCCACATGAGCAACAATTCTGGACTTCTGTACCAACGAGTGGCAACATAAGTTGTTGACATTTTAGGATTTGTATCTGATTCAATACCACGTGACAAACCAAAGTCACAATATTTAATTTCCATATCTCCATTGATAAGAATATTTGATGGTTTAATATCTCTGTGCTATATAATGTTGAATATTACGTTTTGTTTAGTATATTAAATAGTAATAATAGTTAAATAATTATCGGAGCATTAGGTTCAGCACAATTATGTACAAAAGAACAATTACATACCAAAATATTAGCAGAGTGAATGGTCTTTAAACCTCTAAGTAAATGGTACAAAAAGTATTGAATATTTTGATCTGTTAATTCTTGATTAGATTTAATCATTTGTCTCAAATTAGAATCCATAAACTCCATGACAATATAAACGTCATTAAATTCCTCAAAAGATGGTGGAAGAACCAAATCATACAATTGAACAACATTTTCACATTCTCCCAAATGACGGAGGATTTTAACTTCTCTCAAAATTCTCTTTTGATATTCTCTATCATGTTCGAAAATGTTGAAGATCTTCTTGATGGCAACTTCTTGTTTTCTCTCTCTATCATAAGCAGAACTATATAATATCATCAAATTAATTAAATATTATTATTATTACGATAATTGTTAAATATAATCTTCATCATAGAGTATACTTACACAACGACTCCGTAAGCTCCTTGCCCTATGACTTTCTTCACTTCATATCTGGATGGAATTTCAAATTTGTTACCAGCAACAATGTAGGTTACGTGCTCTAACTTTTTCTCTTCGCTCATCTTCTCTCTATATGTATTGTGCTATATTTTAGTATCAAATCAACATTGTTAAACAATACATGTTATCAACAAAATAAATTCCATCATCATGGTTCATACAAAATCAAGATCATCATCGTATCACCACATCCATCCGCATCAACAATATATAGATAACATGTTCAACAACAACAACAATAAATAATGCGATCATCATCAATAAATCAACACATGCACACATGCTCGTCAACTTACATTTTGATTGCGCTAAATTTTTTTGTGATGAAAATTTTGGATGACAATAAAACACTGCTTTTGAATCTATGAAGTTGTATCTTGTAGTATTGCACTCTATTCGAATGGTTTACAAGAGAATTATCACGAAGGGTTTTGGAGAGGGAAAGGCTCAAATGAGTACGCTAAGAATATTGAATTGGGGTGACCACTTGCCATATTAATTGAGAAAATATAGTTCGAGGATTTACTCGATGTGTTTTGAAGTGTATTAAATATTGAGGTGGTTGACTGGTGGCGATAAGAATAAACTTGTTTAGAGTTGGTTGAGTGTTTTATTGATTCAACGTTTCACCATTCGTTAGTACAGGTTTGCTGTTTTTCTTTTCAACTCGTTTCATGAATCGTCTTGGAGGAGCCATCGCTCTCATCACTTGTGGATCTGAAATAATGGTTGGTGTCACATTCGATGAGAAAGGT